GTTTGATGAAATCCTATTGAGAATAGACAACTTAGAGAGGAATATAAGTGAATTAATGAAACTGAAGAATACAATACAGGAACTCCGAGAAGTATGCACAGGTTTAAACACTCGAATTGTTCAAGCAGAAGAAGGGATATCAGAGGTCAAAGTCCAACTTAATGAAATAAAACGTGAAGAAAAGATTAGAGAAAAAAGGATAAAAAGGAATGAGCAAAGTCTCCAAGAAATGTGGGACTATGTGAAAAGACCAAATTTACATTTGATAGGTATACCTCAATGCGACCGAGAGAATGAATCCAAGCTGGAAAATACCCTTCAGGATATTATTCAGGAAAATTTTCCTAAACTAGCAAAGCAGGTCAACATTCAATCCCAGGTAATAAAGAGAACACCACAAAGATATTCCTCAAGAAGAGCAACCCCAAGGCACATAATCATTAGATTCACCAGGGTTGAAATGAAGGAGAAAATACTAAGGGCAGCCAGAGAGAAAGGTCAGGTTACCAACAAAGGCAAGCCTATCAGACTTACAGCAGATCTTTCAGCAGAAACTCTACAAGCCAGAAGAGAGTGGGGGCCAATATTCAACCTCCTCAAAGAACAGAACCTTCAGCCCAGAATTTCATATCCAGCCAAACTAAACTTCACAACTGAAGGAAAAATAAAATCTTTTATGAACAAGCAAGAACTCAGAGATTTTATTACCACCAGGCCTGCTTTACAAGAGCTTCTAAAAGAAGCATTACACACAGAAAGAAACAACCAGTATTAGCCTTTCTCAAAATATACCAAAAAGTAAAGAGCACCAACAGAAAGAAGAATTTACACCAACGAATGGATAAAACAGCCAGTTAACATCAAATGGCAGTAACCCTAAATTTAAATCGACTAAATCCCCCAATCAAAAGATACAGCCAAAACCCAACGGCATGTTACATCCAGACCTGTTTCACATGCAAGGATACACAAAGACTCAAAACAAAGGGATGGAGAAAGATTTACCAACCAAATGGAGAGCAAAAATAAACAATAAATAAAAAGCAGGAGTTGCAAATCTCGTTATCAGATAAAATAGATTTTAAAGCAACAAAGATACAGTGGTAAAAGGATCAACACAACAACAAGAGCTAACAATCCTAACACCCAGATACATAAAGACTTAGACTCAATGAGACAGAAAATTAATAAGGATATCAAGGACTCGAACTCAGATCCGGAACAAATAAACTTAATAAATATTTATAGAGCTCCCCACTTCAAATACACAAAATATACATTCTTGTCAATACCACATCACACCTACTCATAAGTTTAAATGAAACATTGATTGGCCATTATTAATACCCAATTTTGTTCAGAATAAAGCAATATTTCCGTTTACTCTCCCTCTTTCTTCCTCTCCTTTACTTATTTATTTTTTTTTCTTTCCTTCTCTCAAAAAAAAGAAATCAACTTGTAAACCTCTAGATCCAGGTCGGCAATGTCTCTCTCATTGCTTGATTTCCTTCCTTCCCTTCCCTCCCTCTCTCCCTCCCACCCCCCTACTTCCCTTCCTTCCTTCCTTCATCCCTTCCTTCCTCCCTACCATCCTCCTTCCCTCCCTTCCTGCCTTCCTCCCAAAAAAAAAAAAAAAAATACAAAATTAGCTGGGTATGGCGGCACATGCTATAATCCTAGCTACTGGGGAAGCTGAAGCAGGAGAATCACTTGAACCCAGGAGGCGGAAGTTGCTGTAAACCAAGATTGTGTCACTGGACTCCAGCCTGGGCAACAGAGTGAGACTCCATCTCAAAAAATAAAATTCAATTAAAAATGAAATAATAAAAGAATATGATTATTTACTATTTGTCAGAAGGAAAGGGAATGCTGCAATAATGAGTCCCGAGGGGGCCTACTTGCTCAGATACAGAGAAACTCCTAGAATAAATGTGACTGGAGGATATGTCCAATAAAATCCCACTGTTAACCACTATGTCCTGGTGGTGAATCCTGACTCACCACACCTTTATTCTTTTTTTTTTTTTTTTTGAGACAGAGTTTTGCTCTTGTTGCCCAGGCTGGAGTACAACGGCGCGATCTCAGCTCACTGCAACCTTGGTCTCCCGGATTCAAGCAATTCTCTTGCCTCAGCCTCTCGAGTAGCTGGGATTATAGGCATGCACCACCACACCGGGCTAATTTTGTATTTTTAGTAGAGATGGGGTTTGGTCAGGCTGATCTCAAACTCCCGACCTCAAGTATCTGCCTGCCTTGGCCTCCCAAAGTGCTGGAATTACAGGCATAAGCCACCATGCCCAGCCCACAACCTTTATTCTTACTGCCCTCTTTCTGGTACCATCACACTGGGCCTTCTTCCATAAAGGTATGTAATAACAATAACAGTGTTAATAGCTAACTATTTAAACACATTACCTGACTTGTCACTCTTCACCATAGACTTATCAGGCAAACATGATTATTATCTCCATTTTACAAATGAGGAAACTAAGCACAAATAAATTAAAGCAACTTATCCAAGGAGACCCAGCTAGGAAGGAGCAGAGCCAAGCTTCCTACTCGGATATTTTGGATCCAATGTTTACATAATTCACTCCCACGCTACACTGTCTCTATATACCTAGACTCCTTTTTTTTTTTTTTTTTTTTGAGATGGAGTCTCGCTCTCTTGCCCAGGAAGGGCTGCAGTGGCGCGATCTCAGCTCACCATAACCTCCGCCTCTCAGGTTCAAGCGATTCTCCTACCTCAGCCTCCCAAGTAGCTGGGCTTATAGGTGCGCATCACCATGCCCAGCTAATTTTTATATTTTTAGTAGAGACAGGGTTTCACCATGTTGGTCAGGCAGGTCTCAAACTCCTGACCTTGTGATCCACCTGCCTCAGCCTCCGAAAGTGCTGGGATTTCGAACTCCTGACCTTGTGATCCACCTGCCTCAGCCTCCCAAAGTGCTGCGACTCCAGGCGTGAGCCACCACACCCAGCTTATACCTAGACTCTTATATTCTTCTCAGAAGTCTTCGAAATGGAGACTCTCAGTGCCCTTAGCTTGCTCTACCAGTTCTTCCCTGGAGAGAGGTCGATGGTGGGGGAAAACTTGAAGGCAGGAAGCATACCTGGTCTTCGGGAAGTTTTCCATCATCTTCTAGGATCTGAAAGAGCTCTCCCTCAGCATAGTCTGTCACCACCACCACCTACAGATAGAAGACAGTGGCACGAGGCTGGGAAATTCCTGAGACCCTTGTGCTTAGGAAGAGGGGGCCCAAAACTGTCAAAGCACACCTCTTTGTCAGTTTCAAAGCTGTCAAGCATATGCACAATGTTGGGATGCTGCAGACCCCGCATGATTTCAATCTCTCGTTGCAAATTCCTCAGCTCCTTCTCTGAGCGCCCCAATTTTGGAATGAACTTCAGGGCTATGACCTGTCAGTGGTAAGGTGAAGAGTTAATGCCTAATCACACACTGAAAAGAGCCAGAATTTCAGCCTTAATCTCAGAGCTCCAGAAGTCAGACTTTAGAGTATTTGAGAAACTCTTATTTCTGTTAGTCTCTCACTTCCACTTTCCCCATGGTACCGTGGCCTTATCCAGGCTTTCCCCACTCCTCATCCCAGGAGGAAACAACATTTGCCAGACATCCACCTTCTTGGAGAAGTGTTCTGATTTAATCAAAGGAGTCAAGAGGAGATTCAGGGGAAAAGAAAGGAAGAAAAAACGAAGAGGGAATAATAGAGTTCAAGTGGTTTAACTCTTACTAGATGGTACGCTAGAAACTAATAATATTTGTTGTTTACTAAGAGCCCGGCACTGTACTAAGTGATTTAATGTGACAACATATTTAATCCTCAAACTCCATCAATCAGTTGCTGTTCTTATCCCCATTCTAGAGATGAGGAATTTGAGACATAGAGAAGTTAAGTAATTTATCTATAATTCTAAGGCTAGAAAGCAGTGGAGATGGAATTTGCACCCAAGTAATCCAACTTCAGAGTTTATACTCCATAAGAAGTATGAGGGAGTCAGTGCCTTAGAAATACAAACTGGTAGAAATACATCTCTTCTTGACCCATTTTCCACCCGGGTTGGAGGTACCAAATCCCACCCAAAAGGTATCCCTCTTTGTGCAACACCTGAGCACTGTATTTTCTTCGACCCTTGTACACCCTTCCAAAAGAGCCTTCTCCAATCATCTCCAATACGTGGTACTTTTCCATGACAGAGGTTTCAGGATCTCTTAGAAGGAAAAACGTAGAGATGGTGGTAAAGAGCTATAGATCCAGGGACAGTTCCACAACATCTGGGAGGCCTAGTTCGGGCATGAGAAAGAAAAAATGTTAGCCACCTTGCCTTTTCCTCTTTTTCACAATAACGTAAGCCTCAAAAAAACATGGGAGGGTAGAATGGATGGAAAGATGATGAGATCTTGGAACAAACAGTGCGTCTCTTTGTAGTTCCTCCTGACTTTCAGCCTCCTGGCCCCAACCCAGCCCCACACCCACCTGACACCTGGTCTCCCTTCTCCCTCCACCCAGCTCGCCCACTCAACCCTGCTCTCTCAACCTAGCCTTTGCCCACTCAACCCTGTTCCTTCGAGTCTCCCCCAAGTTCCTGCCACTCCCAGCCTCCTCAGCACCCGCTCTCAGACCCCCTGGCCCGTGCGCTTCACAGGCCAGAGTCCCTCTCTCACCCCCAGCCTAGGAGCGTCCAAGCTCCTCAGACCGAGGGACAGATTCCCTGGCCTTTAGCCCCATTTATTCTGACTGCCTGAGTACTTTGCCTGACTTATAATTCTTCTCCACCCCCCCTCTCCCACCGATCTCTTTTGGCTCACTTTCTTAAATTTTACTCGCTAGAACCGATGAGAAGTTCAAAGGACAAAGGCGCTCAGAGGTGTGGGAGGGACAACGGATAGCACAAGGGCACTTCCTGGCATACTTCCGAACTGCCTCAAGGCCATCAGGCCCCGCTATGGACCCGGAATCTACGGTTGCCTAGAAACGACGCTAGCTGCCCACCTCTCTTAGTTTTCCGCCTTCGACTTCCCTAAGGGCATTTCCGGTTCCGGCTGCGGGCCGGAGAAGATATGGCGGCGTCAGCGTCTGCAGCTGCAGGGGAGGAGGACTGGTAACTTTGGGGGCATGGGCTTTGGCTGATGGCCTGGATTTAGTCCAGAGGCCTAGCGGCTGTCGCCGACAGTCTGTACAGCGGGCGTGTCGGGTGAAGCGAGGGATGAGGGATGGCAGAGATGCTGACATCTCCTCTGGGAGAGCTTCTGGACTGGGGAAGGGGAGGGTGGAGGGGCGCTGATCTGAGTGAGTGAAGACCCGGTCTGCGCCCGCCGGGCCAGTTCGGGCTTCTCCTTATCCGGTGCGATCCCCTTTCCTCCAGCCTCACACCATCCCTTTCTCTCCTCTTGAAATGAATTTTCTCAGGGGCTTTGGGGGAAGCCTGCTCGTCAGACCTCACCATCTCCCCTTCACCTTCTCGGAACCACTGCCCTCGAGCTCCGGTCCCCCTTTCCCCTTGGATCAGCCTTTTTCTGCCGACGCTTCCCTCAACCTTCTCTCTCCCAGACAGCACTAGTGAGGACGATTGTCTGAATAAAGCTTTACACCTCACATAAAGTCCCTCTAGTCCTTCTCTCAAGCATTCTTAACAAAAGACTGGAACATGGAAGGACTCTGGGATTTGAAAGTAGGGTAAATGTGGGTTAACTCTGTATTTTATTAGCTGTGTGATGCTAACCAGTCCACCTAGCATCTGTGAGTCAGTGTCCTCAGCTGTAAAAAAGTGGGTGTGGCATCTACCTCAGAATAGTTGAGAAGACCAAGATGGATTTGTAACATACTTGTCTGCTTTTTGTTTTTTGGGTTTGTTTGCTTGCTTTTTTTTTTTAATGTATTTATTTATTTTTGAGACAGGGTCTCACTCTCGCCCATACTAGTGTGCAGTGGTGCAATTATTGCTCACTGCAGCCTTGACCTCCCCAGGCTCAGGTGATCCTCCTGCCTCAGCCTGCCGAGTAGCGAGACCACAGGTGCACGTCACCGTGGCCGGCTAATTTTTGTATTTTTTGTAGAGACAGAGTTTTGCCATGTTGGCTTGGCTGATCTTGAACCCCTGGGCTCAAGTGATCCTCCCACCTCAGTCTCCCAAGGTGCTGGAATTACAGGCGTGAGCCACCACGCCCAGCCTCCTTTTCATTAATAACTGAGATACAGGCACCTGGGAAGACTAAATGAGCCCCAAAGAAGTAAAGTAAGTTGCCAAAAGGTAGAAAATTATGACTAGAAATCCACATCTGTCTGGCTCCACACCTTAGGTTCTTTGTACTAGGACATTCTTCAGTGCCTGCCCCTCCCCCCACCATATTGCCACCACCTTACCACTATCCATCCCATCCAGGATCCACATAATTAACTAGGGTGGGCAAAGTATTGAAGGTCCACTTGACTGAGGCCACACCTCAGTGTTACATTGGTTCAGGGATCCCAGCTAGTACTGGCCTTTATTAAGACTATCTAGACTAGTGGTTTTTAAAGTGTTCAGGGAAACTTTTTTTTTTTTTAAGAGACAGAGTCTTACTTTGTCACCCAGGCTGGAGTAGTACAGTGGCGAGATCATGGCTAACTAAAGCCTTGACCTCTTGGGCTCCAGTGATTTTTCTGCCTCAGCCTCCCAAGTAGCTGGGACCACCGTGTCTAGCTAATTTATTATTTTTTGTAGAAACAGCATCTTGCTTTGTTGCCTAGGCTGGTCCTAGCCTCCCATCTCAGCCTAGCTCCTGGCCTCCCATCTCAGCCACCCAAAGTGCTGGGATAATTTATAGGCATGACCCGCACACTCACCTGTTTAGGGGGAACTTTTAAGATTCGAGGGAGACACCTTGAGCCATGGAGAGAGCAACAGTGAGTGCAGCAGCTTGTAGTACTGAGACTCCCACTCCCATATCAGTCAAAATAACACTGCTATCTGTGAGGTGTAAAGCTTTATATTTTATATTTTGAAGTTTCTGCCTAAGACTTAACAACACTGACATAGGTCCTGCTGGGGCAGCCTTACTCTTAGAATAAACAGGGAGTCGCGTAGGAAAGCAAAGTATGCATTTTTCCATATATCACCTGGGTAGAGCTGTAGACACAAACTCATCACTCAGCTTTAATTTCATTTCAATTGCTGTTCCTATGCTGAAGCATGTGTGTCCTCTGATTTACATCAGAACGATAGACCTAATCTCAACAGGCTGATCTAGATCAACTAGACAGCCAGGGTCATAAATACATCCAGAATACTCTAACTACCTCCCCCCCTCCCTCTTTCCTTTTAAGGGAGAAGGTTATATACGGACAGGAAAAAAAAGAGGACATAGCCTAGCTATTATAGCGCAGATATTATTAGGTACTTTATATAAACAAGTCACGTTTTATCTTCATAATGGCCCTAGAGAATAGGTGGTATTACCTATATGTGATAGACAGGATAACTTAAGCTTACGGAGAGGTCACTTCACAGATCACATAGCCAATAAGTGATTAGTACCTGTTACTAACTCTGAGGCTGCTGGCTCTTCATTACAACACAGCCTTTACACCACCCTAGACCTGTTGTGTTGAGGTTGGTATCTCCTTTAAGCAGGCTTGTGATGACTGGTGTTAACAGTGGGTATAGACAGTAGCCAAGGCACTGAGATCCACACTGGACAGTGATGTAGGGAAAGACTGGCGTAATATTGGTTAACGTTAATGCTAATAAATGGGTGCCATATTTCTAGACCAGAGAGTCAGCCATAAAGTGGAATGAAACTTAAACAGGGAGTCAGGAAACCTGGCTCTGGCCCCAGTTCCACCTATGTTAAGCCTTGGTTAGTCATTTTACTTCTCTGGAATGCATTTCCTCATCTGTTGGCATAAATGAGGCCTAAAATTCTGATTTTCATGCCCACTACATGGCCAGTTGACCACTTAAGGAAACATTTTCCTTGTTTTTAAGGAGTATAACAGGAGAATGCATTCTGGTAGCTTGCCATTTTTCTACAAAGCCAGCCTTTATTGCCCTTAGCAGGCTTCAGCAGGGAGAGATGTAATTGTGAGTCAGTCTACTCCTGTCTTTCTAGGGTCCTTCCCTCTGAGGTTGAAGTGTTAGAGTCCATCTATCTGGATGAACTACAGGTGATTAAAGGAAATGGCAGGTATGTATTCAACCAGCGGTGGGCAGGAATCCCTCTAGTAATGAGAGGTTCTATGCTGAATCTGGGTCTTAAGACACTGTGAGCCTTAATTCAGAGATAATACTTCTCTTGTGTCGACAAAAGCTATTCCTTTAATCCTCCCCAAAAGAAAGAGTCCAATGCATACTTCCTCTGCCCACTTTACTGTCTGAACCCCATCCTCCCCAGCCCCGAAGCCCCTGCCCAGTCACACCTGCGTTTCCACTTTATCCACCTGCAGAACTTCACCGTGGGAGATCTACATCACTTTGCATCCTGCCACTGCAGAGGACCAGGATTCACAGTATGTCTGCTTCACTCTGGTGCTTCAGGTCCCAGCAGAGGTGAAGCTCCTACTCTGTGGTAGCAAAGGGAGGAAGGGGAAAGTCCCTGGGGTGGATCAGCTCAGCAGTAACTTGTGATTTGCCCCCACTAGTATCCCCATGAGGTGCCACAGATCTCTATTCGAAATCCCCGAGGACTCTCAGATGAACAGATCCACACGTAAGTTGGACCTGTCAGAACAGGGAAAACTCAGCTACAGCTTTGCCTTGTGAGGGAAGTGGGCAGGCCTAATATTTGGTTTGCCATCTTCCTCCAGGATCTTACAGGCGCTGGGCCATGTGGCCAAGGCTGGGCTGGGCACTGCCATGCTCTATGAACTCATTGAGGTAAGAGGTGCGCTAGCCTGGGAATATGTTCTTTCCTTCAAGCTAGAGCAGTTTCTAGCCATAAAAGGGAAACCATGGACCTAGAATCTTTAATAGATCTGGAGTCATTAGGTAAGGCCTAAATTAATCCAGAGAAATGAGACTCTTCTATTTGAAAAACTTCCCAAAAGACAGTTCAGTAGCTTCTCCAAGTTGTGTATGCCAGCATCTTGACAGAAAATGTCTTTCTCTTCAACTTGAATTTTTCTTGCTTCAGTTTCAGTCTGTTTCTTGTCCTCTAGGCAATGGCAACTGAAAGTGGCAAAAAATAAGGATCTTGCTTGGGGGAGTCTTAGCCATAAATGAACATTTGAAGGCTGGACTGCCATTGGAATTGACTAGAAAAAGTCGTGGTTGGCCGGATGCAGTGGCTCATGCCTGTATTCCTAGCACTTTGGGAGGCTAAGACAGGTGGATTGCTCGAGGCCAGGAGTTCCAAACCAGCCTGGCCAACGTGGTGAAACCCTGTGTCTTCTAAAAATACAAAAAATTAGCCGGGCATGGTGGCACGTGCCTGTAATCCCAGCTATTGGGGAGGCCGAAGAAAAGAAAAGTCATGGTTCCTTACTAAAAGAGCTTGTACACTGTTTAATGAAACAACCCACATGAAGCAATACCTGGAGCTTCAATGTACACAGAAAACTTTTATTTGAGATTAAAAATAACAATTAAGCCAGGAGTGGTGGTGCGGGCCTGTAGTCCCAGCTACTTCGAAGGCTGAGGTGGGAGGATTGCTTGACTCCAGGAGTTCTGGGCTGTAGTGCGCTATGCCAATCAGGTGTCCACACTAAGTTTGGCATCAATATGGTAACCTCCCGGGAGCAGGGGACCACTAGGTTGCCTAAGGAGGGGTGAACTGGCCCAGGTTGGAAATGGAGCAGGTCAAAACTCCCATGCTGATCAGTAGTGGGGTCGCACCTGTGACTAGCCACTGCACTATACAATTAAGTACAGTCTTTTTTCCCCCTAGTTTAATTTTTTTTTTTTTTTTTGAGACAGTCTTAGTCTGTCACCCAGCCTGGAGCGCAGTGGCATGATCTCAGCTCACTGCAATCTCCGCCTCCAGGATTCAAGTGATTATCCTGCCTCAGCCTCCCGAATAGCTGAGATTACCGTTATATGCCACCATACCCAGCTAATTTTGTGTTTTTAGAGAGGTGGGGTTTCTCCATGTTGGCCAGGCTGGTCTTGAACTGCTGACTTCAGCCTCGGCCTCCCAAAGTGCTGGGATTATAGGCATGAGCCACCACACCCAGCTTCTCCTAGTTTAAATTTTTAAGAAAAATGTCCAGAACAGAATGAAGGTGGGTGGCTGAGAGTCAAAGAGAGTGGGTTTGCTAGGCCTCTGTAGCAGTCCTAGGTCAGGCTTCCACAATGCAGCCTTGGAGTTTGTGGAATTCCAGAGTACACTATTAGCTATTCAAATAACAATTCAAATGCATATTTCACAGCCCAACTTGATGCCTTGTGAATTCTCTGTCCATTTGGGTTGTCCATGCTTTGACATGCTTTCTGAAAGCTGACTCAGAACAAACTCATTGCCCCATGGTAGGGAGTAATATTGAAGGGGGTTAATCAAGAAAGGCCTCTCAGAATATGAGTTTTAATTGAACATTTTTTTCTTTCAAGGTGTATTATTTTCATCTCCAAGATATATTAAAAGTGACTTAAAGAAAGGAAAAACGATTAAGTTGGATTTCAAAACCAGAAAGATCCAATTGTGGGGAGGGGGGCAGGGATGTGGAGAAGGACTGATTCCCAGCAGAGGGAGAATCATCAAGACAGAAATCATAAACACCAGGTACCAAACTGGCCTGGAAGGAGCTGCGTCCAGCCATTCACTCCTAGGAGTAGGAGACAAGCGTTGCTCACCATTCTGTCCCCTACCCCCCATTTGATCAGTGTCTTCTCTCCTCAGAAAGGGAAGGAAATTCTCACAGATAACAACATCCCTCATGGCCAGTGTGTCATCTGCCTCTATGGTTTCCAGGTGAGATTCTCTCTTGGGACATGGCATCTGCTTGGAACAGGCAGGTGAGGGCTGTGAGAGAGCTCTGACTTAGTACCCTATATCTGTCCTCCCTCTAGGAGAAGGAGGCCTTTACCAAAACACCCTGTTACCACTACTTCCACTGCCACTGCCTTGCTCGGTACATTCAGCACATGGAGCAAGAGCTGAAGGCACAAGGACAGGAGCAGGAACGGCAGCATGCTGCAACCAAACAGGTCGAACTCACTGCAACTGCGCTCTCACCTGACACCCTTAGGCACTGCCTTTCACAGCCTTCCCATCCCTCCACTCCAGTGGCTCTTCACCTTTTTAGGGTCATAGATACTAAGATTAATGAACTATTACCTCTGTCCAGAAAAAAGGGCACCCTTATATTTTATTTTTGGAGATGGAGTCTCACTCTGCTGCCCAGGCTGGAGTGCAGTGGTGTGATCTCGGCTCACTGCACCCTTCGCTTCTGGGTTCAAGCGATCCTCCTGCCTCAGCCTCCGGAGTAGCTGGGGTTACAGGCGCCCACCACCATGCCCAGCTAATTTTTATATGTTCGGTGGAGATGGGGTTTTACCACGTTGGCCAGGCTGATCTCAAACTTCTTACCTCAAGTTATCTGCTCGCTCGGCCTCCCAAATTGCTGGGATTACAAGCCTCCTTCTCCGTCTAGGAGACCTCTAGTAAGACTGCCTGGTGTTCTGTCCCAACTCACTGCTGAACCAGTGTCCCTGTGCCTTTTAGTCCCAGCCCTCTGTGGATTAGGTTGGCTGACTAGATCAGCACCAGGGGGCATCCTGGGCTGTGATGCAGGCATGTGATTTCTCTTTTTTAGAAGGCAGTCGGTGTGCAGTGTCCGGTGTGCAGAGAGCCCCTCATATATGATCTTGCCTCGCTGAAAGCAGCCCCTGAACCCCAACAGCCCATGGTAAGGGGACTTTCTTCAAATGTGAGCCAGGAGTAATGGCATTTTCTAAAGAGTAAGGAATGGCATCTTGTCTGTGTCAAATGGAATCTCTGGAATTGGGTTTGAACTGCCTAGGACCTCTCTGCAAAGCCACAGCCCCCACTGGTGGGAGCCTGACTCTGGGAGCCCAGACCTGAGCGGCTAAACCAGAATCTTTTGCACATTTCCTGAGGCAGACTTGGAGGCGCAGGGATTTGAGTCTGCCTTCTGCTGTTCATTATTTCCTCTCTGCTATTCCTCCTTCCAGGAGCAGTACCAGCCCAGTGCAGAGAGCCTGCGCCAGCAAGAAGAACTCAAGCGGCTCTACCAGAGGCAGCAGGAGCGGGGGGGCATCATTGACCTCGAGGCTGAGCGAAACCGATACTTCATCAGCCTTCAGCAGGTGAGGGAAGGGTTTCCCAGTCATCCCGTAATGCCACCAACCTTCCTACAAACCCCAATCTGCCATGGCCCCAGAGTGGGCTTTGTTCTAAGCAGGGAGATTAAAGACTGATCTTGGTCAGCCCCGATGGTAGGAGAGGGACTTGCGGTTCCCTGCTTTGAGGAGCTGCATCCCCCTTACTGCATTATCTCATTTCTTTCTAGCCTCCTGCCCCTGTGGAACCTGAGTCAGCTGTAGATGTCTCCAAAGGATCCCACCCGCCCAGCACCCTTGCAGCAGATCTGTCCACCTCACCAGCCGTCCAATCCACCTTGCCAGCTCCTCTGCCTGTGGCCACCCAGTACATGTGTGAGAAGATTCCAGGGGCTGGGCCAAATCAGCAAAGGTTGGGCGAAACCCAGAAAGCTGTGCTAGATCCCCCCAAGCCCAGTCGAGGTCCCTGGCGACAGCCTGAACGGAGGTACCTGAAGGGAGGGGAGTGCCATGCCCCCAAAGGTACCTGTAACACCAAAGAACTGCCACCTCCTGAGGGGCCCCTCAAGGAGCCCATGGACCTAAAGCCAGAACCCCATAGTGAAGGGGTTGAAGGTCCTCCCCAAGAGAAGGGGCCTGGCAGCTGGCAGGGCCCCCCACCCCGCAGGACTCGGGACTGTGCTCGCTGGGAGCGCTCCAAAGGCCGGACCCCGGGTTCTTCCTACCCCCGCCTGCCTCGGGGCCAGGGAGCATACCGGCCTGGTACTCAGAGGGAGCCCCTAGGCCTGGAATCTGAGGATGGTTCCTAGCAGGACTTGGCAGGGACAGGGAAATTGGGGATGGAAGGGGAATAATAAAGATATTTGACCTTGTTTGGCTTTCTTTGCTCAGCAGCGCCTAGCCTGTGAGAAATGGGTCTTTTTCTCAATTCCTAGTAAGATTGGGGTGTGGCAAAGCAGCCCCCACCTGTGCTCTGAAGTCTGTTCTCCAAAGAGCTGGGTAAAGAGGGTCTGACATCTCATCAGCTAGTGTAATCAGTTCCAGAGAAAACTAGTGGGATGTCAGCATGTAAGCAGAGTCCTTAGGACTCCCGTTAACCCATTGTGTACACACCCACGTCTGTCCATTATATACATACATAGAATGCCTTTAGGTAGAGGAACTTAGTTTCCTGTTTTATGTCTCATCTCTATCTTAGTCTGTGCTCCATCATTTGCATATGTGGTTGCCTGACTGACCCCTGTAGGCACCTGTGATTGCAGCGCCTGGTTTTTATTCAAGTACCAATCCAGTGATGAAGGGAGATCCGAGAGCAGAGTAGTGTGGCAGATGTTTATTGAACTAGAGGAGGAGAGCCGAGCTGAGTGCAGCCTAATCACCTCCTCAGAGACTCAGCATTGTGAATTGCCCCTACAGGGTCATTTTTGTACAGCATGAAGTAGCCCTGCACCTGGGCAGGGCTGATCTGGGTTGCAGCTCGAAGGACTTGTTCTGCAAAGTCCTCAGCTAAGGAAGGTGCCTGCCCTGGATAGAACCTCTGGAACATCTGGGTCAGCTGCCAGTGTGAGCAGTAGCCCACGTACTCCTTCAGGTCCACTCGCCCAGGGCGTATCAGGGCAGGGTCCAACCTGAGAGAAGACAGGGAAAGAGTCACAGGCAGCAGTCACACTAGCACCCAAAAGAGATGGCCCCTCGACCTCCTGCTCCTCTCAAGGCACCGAGGAGGTGGGCTCTTGCCTTGGTCTCAGAATCCCTGGCTCCTTCCTACCTGTCCACATGGTTGGTGGTCATGAACACGATGCGGGCCTCAGTGGAAGCCACACCATCCAAGGCATTGAGCAGTCCACTGAAGGTGAGGCGACCTAGGCCTTGGTACTTTACTGGGTCTGGAGGAAGGCAAAGATAAAGCATGGGTAGTCATAGCCCAGCATAAAATCAGCACGCCCCACTATGTTCTCTTACCATGCCTCTCATGGGCTCCTGCTGTTAACCCAGGCATCCTCTGTCAGCCCTCTAGATTTCTACTGTCTTCCCCTGTTCCAGTTACCCATTCCCCTTCCTCCAGAACCCCTCACTTACTCTCCGCAGCCAAGTCTCGACTGAGAAAAGCAGCATCCACGTCTTCCAGGAGCACCAGGCTCTGCTGTGGGGCCACGCTCAGCAGGTGGTTGAGCCGGTCATCAGAGAGGCTGGAGTCTGTGAGACTCAGCAGGCAGATGCTGTGCTCCAGTTCCCCAGCCAGGGCTGTGCTATGGAGGATGGGATGGCAGGAGGTAGCAGGCAACCTGGAAATGCTTCCTCAGGCCCAGCTACTCTCCTCTCAGTCTGGGGATATGTGTCTCAGAGGCTTAACTTCTAGCTCACACCCTAATGTTCCACACATTTCATGTTTATCCCGGCCCCTGGTCCCCAGATTCACTTCCCTTTCCAACCCCATCAGCCCAGTGTTTTCACAAAGGCTTAGTTTCACCAAGAGAAATTTTGACTACTCACATAAAACTGCTCTTTCCACAACCAGGGGGCCCATAAAGCAGGTAGCCACGTCTGTAGGGAATGCCTAGGGAGAGCCAGGTTGATATGGATTTTGCCCGATATCCACGTTCATTCCCAGCCCTGCCCGCTGGAAGCCTGATAACTGGTAGGGAAATAAATCATCCTCATACACAACTTTTCATTCCTCTTAATCTCTGGGAATTGGACTAGAACTTTCTATCACCCCATCTGGCCAGAGACCAACCTGTCCCCTCTAAAATGTCAAAAATAGCACAGCCAAGATCTTAGCTGCTTCTTACCTCTGTCGGTGTACCACTTGGGGTTATCAATGAATTCCCGGATGTCTCTGACAATTCGGTCAGCCAGACCCTGTTGTAGAACCACAGAACTCAGTGGCCGCCGGCGGCGTGGATAGCCAAAGGGACGCCATTCAGAGCCTACAGCTGTGTACATCACGGTCTTCCCTTCCTCCTGCTGCAAGGCTAGCTCTCGAGCTGAAAAGGAAAAGATGAGATAAAGCCAATAATTCTCTTCACCATGGCTGATTCTTCGATTAGGTGGAGCTATGCCCAACAGCTTCCTTCTGGCCCCGTGCTCCCCTGGGCTCACCCTGGTCTGCTTATTCCACCTCTCCAAACTGCTTATCCTCTGATGTCAAATGTCCCCATCCCTGCAATGTCCCTAGAAAGCCTGCCTGTGCCATCCCACACCTTCCTCCAGGATGTTGAAGAAAACCTTTCGGTCAGTGCCCAGGGCCGTGAAGGTGACAGATTCCCAAGGAGTCCCCGTCTGCAAGTCTATCATCTGCATCTCTCGACTTCGTTCTACTCGGATCCATTTCCCCTGATACCTGAATAAGAACAATCAAAACAGAGTGAGTGAATGGTTCAAACCCAGCTCCCATCATTTTTTTCTACTCTCACAGCCCTCCCTGGCTCCCAACCTTACCAGATAAAGTGGTTTCCAGGGCTGGGGACAAATTCAAACTTAGTGGAAATGCGGCCACTCTCATGCTGAAGGTACGAAGTCTCCACACTGAGGTGCTGAGTACGGGTACTGTGGCGGGTGAGCCAGCTAAGCAACCAAGCATAGCTCCTGTCTCGAGCAGGGACTTCCAGTGTGATCATGTAATGGCGCCGGAATGCCACCAGGCCCAGCTGGGCACCCTTCCGGGCCAGGGCCAGGACTGTGCCCACACCCACCAGCCCAAATCCAGCCCCAAAGTAGGGATTGTCCTTCAGGGCCAGAATAAAGTCTGAAAGTGGCATCTTGAAAGGGAAACACCAAACCTTACCAGCCCTGGGGTGTTGCAAAAACCTACGAGTGGGGAACAGTGGAGATGGGACAAAGCAAAAGATTACTTTAAAAATTGGACCTCTCCAGCCCTGCGCACAGGTTAGCACTACTCTGTTGGTCAATATCCTCCTTTTGTGGGGTAAGGGTAGTATTGGAATGCAAGGGTGAAGACTTGCATTCCATGCAATGCCCCTCATCCCATTTTGCCCTTCATTACTCTACTCATACCTGTTTCTTACCAGAGGACCATGTCTGGAGATGCCTTAAACCAAAAAGAGCAATATAAACTGGCTTCACATCAGGATAATGAATGGACAGGATTTTTGTGGTCCATGGTACCAGCTTTTATAGAAAGGGGCCCACTAGCTGGAGTCAGCAAGGGGGAAGCATCCATTGATTTGTCAATAACTCTATGCCTTGTTACCATGAGTAACGTCCTTCAAATATCCTCTCCCTTACGTTCCCAATATCTAATGTCCTGTTTAGACCTTTATTACTTCCCACCTAAACTATATTTAAAATTATAGTTCTTGAAATGGCACTTTTTTCTTCACCTCCTGCTTCACTCAACAGCTACACAAGGGTCCGGATCTTTCATCATAGGGATCAGCTCCAATTCCATCTCTCTTTCTGCTCCAGTGCCTTCAATGGCTGGGGGTACAAATTGAGCCTGGTACTCAAGGCCCTCCGCAATACGGCGCACACCTACCTTTCATAGATTAGTTCCTAACACTACCTGTTCAGCAAATATGCAACAAATATGTTCAACAGATAAGCAACCTCCCACCTCCTTGCTCATGCAGTTCTCTTGGTTCGGAATGCCGGTTCTTTTCTCCCTTATCCTCCCCAACTGAAACCTACCCATCTGCTACTTTCTCCACGGATCGTTACACTGTAGACAAATAAGATCCTGAGGGATAAGCGCAAAGTTGTCTCTAGTACACCTGTCCTCCAACCCCGAACCCCGGCCACTTTGCCTTGCACCTGGCATGCAGGGAGATGAGCTGACAGCAGTGACCTCGGCTGAGCCTCAGAACTGGGATCCAAAATTCCAAAACACCTATGCATGGAAGGCCACAGACAAAGCTCTCCCGTCCCCTCCCCCTCCGCGACACCCAGAAACCCCCTCCTGAACCTCGCCCACACCCCAGTTCGTGCCTCCAGCCACATGGTTTAGGGCAACCAGTCACTCCGCCCACTCACCGCCATGACTCTCTGGCCCTCCGTCTCGTTGGTTTCACCGCACCCGCACTTGGGGGAAGCAGCGCTCGGCCCCGCCCCGAGTCCTTTCATCTACTTCCCGCCACACCTACCGAGAAGCCCACGCCACTCTACCCCAGAGCTCTCGATGGTGCTTCCTCCGACTTCAGGGCTGGAGTAGGGGTGGAGGGCGGGGAAAAACCACAGAGAGAAAACATAGAGCACCACGGCAGCCGGCAAGCGGAAGAGAGAGTGGCTTCCATATCCCCGATATACTAGAGGCTGCTGGGCCGGAGGCGGTCGCACAAAGTGGGCCCGGGCGGCCGCTCCAGCCACTGCCGACCATAGAGATGCGGCTCCAGCCGGCTCTGGGTCCGGAGGTGAGTGAGCGGCTGCGGGGCGGGAACTGGGAAGGGAATCGGGGGTGGAGCGAGCCGGAGGCAAAGTTTTTCCAGTCAAGGCATCAGGGTGGGCCTGGACCCTGGGAACTCTCGGGAGGAGGTACTGAAGGGAGCACGCAGAAGAGCTGGGCCCCGGCGCCGCAGTCGCGTCATTGCTCTGGACCCCGCCCGGGTACCCGCTGCTCTCTGGAACAAAATCATGAAGATGCTCCATCCCAAGCCTTCCAGGTTACAAACCGCCTTTCCAGTTCGCTGGCTCTTGTGATCCAGCTCCCGCCCGAAGATGTGGACACTGTCATCACCTCCATTTTACAGACAGGAAAGCTGAGGCCCAGAGAAGCTAGGCGACTCTGTCCAAGGCCACGCGGAGAGTCAGAACCCAGCGGCAGGTGGGAACCCGGGTCCCTAGGCCGGGGCCCGTTGTTTCTCCTGGCCTTCTCTCTGCCTTAGTCTGTCCTTTCTTTTCCTCAGTGCTCCTGCCC